TCCCAGCTTTTAAAAATATATTTAATGTCTTTCTTTGTTCTAGTTGTATAGACAAACAAAATAACATATGTTTCATCAAGTTACGTTTTATTCGATTTTACTAGTCCAAGCATGTTAGGCAGGTGGCCATTGTTCTTTAAATTGCTATCAACCTCTATCGTTCTTTATGTTTTTTATTTGGTGTAAGCTTTCATAAACAGCGCCGTTGATTTTGATGCAGTTCTTACTGTTAGATATGAATTTATTTTTCTAGTTTTCAAAAAACCTTCATGGAGAAGACTTATATATATATATATATATATATATATATATATATATAAATTCATATATATATATATATATATATAATAATAATAATAAATATTAAAGAACGCCACATACATTGCTCAGATTCCAAGATGATTAGCTAGAACCCCTCTATTATGGAGTATGTGAGGCAACGAAGGTAACACAACACCCAGACCTGAGACAATATAGAAAAGTTCATTTTCTACTTTGACCCGACCGGGAATCGAATCCGGAACCTCCGAGATGGCGACACCTTGTAACCGGCGTGCGAACCACTTAGCTAAGGAAACTCGGCTTCGTAAGCATAATCCGAAAAGCTGGAGGAGACGCCACAACCATAGTCTCATATTATAGAGGTAGTATTTCTCCTCCTCCATGCAATATTTGCTCAACATGTATTTATATTCTAAAATTTATTAATTAAATTTTTATTTAAAATATTTCAAATACTAACCGTCTAGTTTTGAATAGTATTCACTATTGTTTTACTAGTAAGAACATATTACTACAGTCGTATATTCTAAATTACATATTGGTCATTGAAATCTCAACTCTGTTAATTCCACGAACTGCTCTTTATTCAATGGCAGCTAGTCGTTAGGTCTGATTCAACCGACGGATGCCACCAAGAGGAGCTCCGCCATATTGTTAATTAATGTTTGCTTAATGAAGTGCGACCGTAAACTAAAATCCATGGAAAGTTTCGTGAGACACCCTTCGGTTATTTATTCGTGAACTTGTTGCTAGAGCCTCTATACAAAAGTGGTGTGTTTTAATCAGATGTTATGAATGTCTTATTGGTGAGACAAACTTTTTGAAGACATAAAGTCTGATTATTTTGATATAATTTCATTTGATTTATCAGTATCCAACTTTGAATTGAAAATAAATATTATGAAGTTCCTTTAGTTTGACGATAGACAGGATACTTACTGATTTCACTATCATTGAAGTCACAATCTTCATTGCTGAATAAATCATATTTTTTAATAGCAAGTATACCTACTGCTTATCTTACATTAATTAAACGACAGTGTATTCAGTCTACAAGCAGACATGAAAAATGTCGATTTATAATAATAAAATTATAAGAAAAAATATTAAACATTAAAACAGAAAACATTTGTTAAATATTATTTACTCCGATTCTAAATACTATAAAAACCCTCTTCAAACAACCATCCTATCACATTACTTTTAAACTGATTAATGTTTTTTATTTCTCTAAAATTGTCTGGTATTCTGTTATATAGATATATGTACATATTATAAGCATTTTCCTTATACATATATATTTATGAATTATAAAAAGTCTTGCTATTGTTCAGTGTTTCCATCCGTTCTAGTCTTTGGCTCTCTTCAAAACGGTTGTAAGTACGAGTACGAGGGTTGGGAACAGCTCAGGGTTAGTTTACCGTTCACTTTTCTGAGTACAACTAGCTTTCCGAGTTGTTTGGATCTCTATGAGACCAGAGTTGACGTTGAGTTGATTGAGGATAGATGCTTTTAGTCTCTACGCCATCTATGGTAGATATACGGAGCATACGGCTCTAGCACCACATATCTAACACGGAGATTTCCTTGAGATTGAGAATATCAGTGCTTTAACAATAGACTTTCTTGTTTTGCATTACATTTTAATTACAATTTAAATAACACCAATAAATCATAAAGAGTACATAAATAAACAAAATTTACGATTGCTAGGTAACAAAATTAAATCTTAATCAAGCCGCAAACGAACGTCAGCGGTTCTTTTCTTTCGTTTAACCATTTAGATTAAAACGACGGGTGGCCACTGACTTAATCCATTATCTTAATTGTCGCGGGCTGCTTTCACCGTAATTAAGGAGAGTTTGTGTTTTTCTAGAACTCGAAATTACTATGTAAGTAAAATTGTTTCCAAGTAAAGTCTAGACTCCTGACTAATGAGAAAATCATACTAGCTAGACATTTTTCTGTTTAATCTATCATCCAATTTCGTTTAATCATCTATCATTGGGATGACGAGAAGATGTTGTACTTGCGTCACTGATAAAGATTAAGTAATTAAAGTTACTCAAGCATTTAACTCCAAATTTATGATCTAATTGACACAGACTTTACATGAGTATTGGAAAAGCGAGTTAAAACTTAATTACTTAATATATTTGAGATTATTTATGCTTATTTCTGTTTGTCAAGTTGTCAAGTAAAAAACTACTACGATTGTGTAAAATTAAATGGTGAAAATTCATTATTGTGTTCGTGTTTATTTACTGTTATTATCAAAGTTATGTTATAATGTAAATGTTGTAGAGTGGTTAAGTTTTATGTGACTACGAAAAACATGCTTGTTTTCTTCACTTATTAATTAATAGGCACTCTACTAATTGGGTAAATGGATTTAATAATAAAAAAAAGATTAAAGAATATATAATCATGCTAATCATGCTAATCATCATATTGGACACAGACATGCAAGACGATAAATTTATATATATTTTATATATAAATTTATATATTCATTCTATCACATCACTTTTCATGAGAGTTGCTTGTAAATAGTACGAGGGTCAAACTGAAAGTTCTTAGAACTGGCCACTTATAAACAATATAATAAAAAAATAATTCTAAAATTTGAAAATATAACTCTTTGCCAATATTACTGAGTATATATTTCATTCATTTGTCATTTGTTTTACGATTTGGCGGCAAATTGAAAATTGACTGTGTCACGTCATCATGAATTTAACACGAGAAAATTTTCGTGCAATGATTTTTTATGACTTTCGATGTCATTTAAGTCAACAAGAAAGTTATGATAGACTACGATTGGCCTTTCACGATGAAGCCCCATCTCGTGCGACTGTTTACAACTGGTTTAATGAGTTTAAACGTGGTCGCACTAATCTCACTGATGATTTACGTGAGGGACGGCCTTCTACGGCGACGACTGAAGATAACATCTGTGTTGTGCGGCGTATGATAGAGACTGACAAAAGAGTGCCCTATCAACAGATTCGGACAAGCTTAGGCATCGGTATGAGTCAAGTGCACAAAATCCTCCACGAACATTTAGCGGTCAGGAAGCTTTGCGCCCGGTGGATACCTCATAATTTGACTGAGGCTCAAAAACTCCATCGTGTGGATTGGTGTCGTAAAATGATTGAAAGATTTAACGGAGGTGACTCAAATGCTGTGTTCGACATACTAACAGGTGACGAAAGCTGGATTTACTGTTATGATCCTAAAACCAAAAGACAATCTGCTCTGTGGGTGTTTCCTTTCGAGGAGTTGCCAACTAAAGTGAAGAGAGATCGAAGTGCGGGAAAAAAAATGGTGGCCTCGTTCTTTGGAAGGATAGGTCATTTTGCAACAATTATGTTAGAGGATCAAAAAACAGTTTCTGCAGAATGGTACACTACCAATTGTTTGCCACTTGTCTTGGAAAAAGTTCGAGAGAAACGACCTCGCAGTAGGATCCTCCTTCACCACGACAACGCCTCGTCGCACACCGCCAAGCGAACGATCGACTATTTGGCGACATCAAACGTTGAATTACTGGGTCACCCGCCGTATAGCCCCGACCTCGCGCCTTGTGATTTTTATTTATTTCCAAAAATTAAAGAAAAACTTAAAGGAAAGCGGTTTATGAATGCTGAAGAAGCGGTGGCTGCGTATCGCGATGCCATTGAAGAGACCCCTAAGGACGAGTGGGCAAAGTGCTTTTCCCAGTGGTTCCATCGCATGCAGCGGTGTATTGACGTGAATGGACAATATTTTGAAAAGATATAATAAAACTAATAACTGGCTAATGTAATCAGTTTTTGATTTTCTAAGAACTTTCAGTTTGACCCTCGTAATACTATAACTACCTCCGTGGTCTTATTCTTAGAGTATTTCAAACTAGTTGTTGGACCGTAACAGAAATTCCCCGCATTGAAAATAGATGTCCGATCGAAAAGGTTACACATAAATTTCAATTTACATTTTCTCAGACTCTACAAGATGGATCAGCTATTTGGCTATATAACGTTATTCTAAGTGATGGCAGTTATTCGTTTTTCATTGTTTCATTGTACTGTACAAATAAATTTGATCGGATACATTTTCTTATCAGGCTAGCTATAAGCTTATTAAAAGTGTTTGTAATAAGCTTATTAAAAGAATTGATGTGTTTTTTTTTTATAAGTATACATGAAACGGATTAATAAAGATCAGCCTCCTTACTCTCGAACGCAATCGCGACCGATCGATATTGCAATTGTGCCATTTCGCACTTTTGATTGGTTCACTAGCATACTCTGGCGCTAGTGTAAACAATCAAGTGTACGAAATGACACAATTGCAATGGCGATCGGTCGAGATTGCGTTCGAGAGTAAGGGGACTGATCAGAATGACTTAAAGTCAATATTGAATAGAGAGAATGGATGCACTGAAATGATAGTTTCTTGTTCCTCATCCTATGACTGACTTTTGCGAAAGTTCCGCGTTTCTATTCCATTCATAAGGAAGACCTGTGTCTTTGCAGGGGATATTAATAGTTTGAAGATGAATGCCAATATCACTCAAGAGGTATATGAAAGAGGTTTTGTTAGTTCTGAATAGGAACTGAGCCTGATTTAGTAGATATACTTGAAGCGGGGAGATTATAATCCCGTTTTCGTTGTTTTGATTATCGGCATTTCATGTACATCAATCACTTATTTCTGTTTTTTTTTTCCATTAGAATGCGGCAAACGTCGTAAGACGGGGGGTGGAACGAAGCGTATAGTGGGAGGAGTGGAGGCGTCACCAGGCGATTGGCCCTTCCTGGCAGCGATCCTCGGCGGGCCCGAGGAAGTGTTCTACTGCGCAGGAGTCCTAGTCGCCGATCAGTGGGTGCTCACCGCCTCGCATTGCGTCGGCAAGTGAGTAACTCGTGGGAGAACAATAGAAACAGTGAAAATTATATTTCTTAATAATTTTTACTGTTTTCATAATTACTTAATCGAACCAAATTCTAAATCCGAGATAATGGCGAGAGCTATTTTACGAGGCGGCGACTCTGTCGTCGTATCATCTTCTGTTCGATCCTTTTGAGACAAATCTGCAATAATCTTCCATCCGGCTTCAAGCGAGTAAATGTGTTTTTGTGTAGTCATTCAGATGTGAACGGATGGACGATCCAACTGGGTATCACGCGGCGTCGCTCGCACGCGTACTACGGTCAGAAGGTTAAGGTTCGTCGCGTGGTCCCCCACCCGCAGTACAACATCGGCGTGGCGCACGACAACGACATCGCCCTGTTCCAGGTACGCTGTTTAAGGTTTTGGATCGAGATTTTGTTCGTCGCGTGATTGGTATATGGCATATAGCACTGGCGCGTGTTGCAGCTGGCCGTGCGCGTGCGGTACCACGAGCAGCTGGCGCCGGTCTGTCTGCCGCCGGCGCGGCGCGCGCTGGCGCCCGGCACGCTGTGCACCGTCATCGGCTGGGGCAAGCGCGACGACAAGGACAGTCAGTATCGCAGTAAATGTCGCCTCACATATCTACCCGATATCATTCTTCGTTTCCTGATATAGTACCCCCATATCTTTAACTTGAGGAATAGATCTACTGCTTAACCTATTGAACACAGCGATAAAATTGGGAGGTTGCAGCAGATTTGGCAAAAGATACTTTAATCCATAAATACCGTTCTGGAATTCCTGAATATCTATTGGTCACCTAAATTGAAACAACAATACCAGTTTCATTTTTTGCATGCACCTTGTTGAATACAGTGATTGAATTATGCGATTTCAATGTTGTTTTTCAACTAAATATTAGCTTATTTTGTGTTTATCAAAAGTGTCGGAATACGAGCCAGCTGTGAACGAGGTGGAGGTGCCGGTGCTGAACCGAGACCTGTGCAACCAGTGGCTGGAGCACCGCGACCTCAACGTCACCGAGGGAATGATATGCGCTGGGTACCCAGAGGGGGGCAAGGATGCGTGCCAGGTACACGTCCGAGTGGCTATGACCTAGTAACATTTCCCTTCCAGCACTCAAGTTTTCACATAATGGATAACAGATAACGTTATTGCCCAATATCTAAAACACATATCGCACTTGACTTACATATGTAACGGTGAAGAAATAGAAATCAACATTATTCAAAGATTTTTATTTTCTACGTCATTTGAACGAAAGTCCAGTTTTCTTTCAATCAATGAACATTAAACATTTATTATTACGATTTCATTTTTAATAATTCTGCGGTACAGTGTAAATCGCCATCAAATTTCGATAGCGCCACAAATTTCCCTTAATCTTTATGTAGGTATATCGTATTTATTTATTATGATCCGGTAATATTCATAAATAAAATTAACTTAAACTTAAACTTAAAGTTAAATCGATCGTTCTGCCTTGTCTTCTATCCCACTGCCAACAATAATAACTGTTACTCGAAGTGCGTACGTATATGCGTGTGCAGGGCGACTCGGGCGGGCCGCTGCTGTGCCGGGACCCCGAGCAGCCGTCGCGCTGGTACGTGGGCGGGATCGTGTCGTGGGGCATCAAGTGCGCGCACCCGCGGCTGCCGGGCGTGTACGCGTACGTGCCGCGCTACGTGGCCTGGATCCAGCGCCAGATCGCGCTCTACAACGACGACGCCGCGCGCTCCGACGACATCTGAGCGGTTCTCGAGGACTCGTCCCGACAATAAAACTGTACTTCGACAATAATGGCTAAATGTTTTTACATATCACTCGTCTATCGTGTGAAGTAAAGAAGCTGTGATACTATGAAACTCTTTATAGACGATTCGTTTTATTGTATTTAAAGTTTTGCCCGACCGCGTCGTCTCCGGCCGCCGCGATCGCCTCGGCGACCTCCCGTCGTATATTTATATATAGAGGGAACTCTTTGATATTGTACGTTTTAAACATGTGACGTAGGGTTCTTGAAGCTTTAGCCTGATCTTTTAGGGATTTTATAACGTTCCTTGATTTTTCATTCCTACACCTATTACGTGTCGTGCGTTTAGTGTCACGTTTAGGACTTGAATGTACCCATATTTGTTTGATGTTTGGTGTTAGTAGTTTTTAGAGAGAAGTGCTTTTATAGATTAACTTTCCGTTCGGACGTAGAACGATGCCGTCGTGGCGGACGTCCGTCAGACGACACACTTACACCTATTATGACGTAGAGGTAATCTTATCTGACTCTTCCCTGACGATACAGTAAGTCCAAATGTTGTAAGCATGACAATAAAAATCTGAACGATTAGAAACTAAACGACAATACTATTAGTGCATAAATTATTAGTAAAAATAGTGTTTTAGAGGTAATGTTAAATGCCAAGTGACGTAAATTATGACAATACAACTTCTTGGATGGTATGAGATCCATTAAGAAATCCTAGCGACAGATGACAATAATTGTTTGATTTTTAGACTATTTATATATACACAATATAAATGTAGAAATAAGCTTTGTTAAGTGTCTATACAAATCTACTATGTGAACATGTCAGTTTTTATGTTCCTTTTTTATTATATTAAATATAGAGACGTAAAAACTGGAAAGTGTAAAGTCAAAGAAATTAGTGAAATAGCTTTAATAGTATGTAAGAAATTATATATATTTAAGTAGCGTAAGTACATAAAAAAAAATAGAAACTATTTGTGTTAATAAATATTCCAATATTTTATGGTATTCCGTTTATAGATAGATAGATACCTATACATTGTAGTGTGCAATATTGCTGTTTTGTTGAAAGCATTCGCTGTTTTACCAAATATTGTGTATTTAAATATTACTTTGCTACAATATAGATAAAAGCGAACGCTGTGCTCAAAGGATTATAAACATTATTTTTATGTATACAAGACATAATTTAAATAAGTATAATGAATGTATGGTTGTTGACTTCTTATGAGTCTCCTTCTTATCTCGAGCTTTCTTATAGTGTTATTCGTAGTAGAAATTTTATATGAGAGTGGAGTTATTTTTAACTGAAAAGATTTTAATAGGAACTTGTTTGATTGAAAATTATGAAGGTTTGGGAGTAAGGGGACGTCGTCTGCGGTCTTAATTAGTATTGACATTCCTGTTGTGACATTTAAAAAATCTATTCTAGCTTAACTCATAATTATTCGACTTCATTGTAGTCACAATAGACTACTTATTTTTATTAAAATTAACGAGCCGTTATCCAATAACAACAATTACTTTTTACAATTACAGATTAATTATTTTCGTAAGAAGCTTTCAAAGCTTTGGATGAAAGTATATTTAAATTGGATATAATAAAAGTTTTTTTTTTTTTAATTAATATACAAGTTTTTTTTACTTTTTCGAAATGTCATCATAGTTTTGATAGATGATTTAAGAAGATATCTACAATTGATCGGTTTGATTATTGTGTCAAATTATATACTTAATAAATAAATAAATAATTATAATAACAAGACAATAATGGTACGGAATTTTAAATACTGATACAATTTATAATCGGAAATGACTGGATTTGTTCAGTCACGGATTAGGAAGGTTTGTCCATAAAAGAATAAAAATATAAACTAGGGGTAAACCTTATGAGACGGGAAAACTAAACTCCATAGTTTTTAGGAGTGATTCAAGTTTTGTTCTTTGTTATTTAAATTATATCAATAATATTCTATGGATCGATTATATGATTCAAAGGGGTTCGACAGAAGAATAAGTTTGCTTTTGTAAATTTAACTTGAGAGCCGGAGGTTCCCAACCCCTGCTATGAAGTAATGAAATTTAACCAAGAGTTTATACAAATATTTAAATAAAATGTTTTATTAACTTACTTTATGTTATTCTTAAGGTATCTGACCGAAACGAAAAATAAGAAAAAATTGTCTTTGAATTTATTAAGCGTATCAGGACCTATTATACCTAATGGCACATATCATCAATGTAAGGTCCCGTGTCTTTGAATTCAACATTCCCAAAATGGTTTTGTTTTATCAAATTATAGTATATGTAACTTTTTTTAATTATTATCTCGTGATAAATAAATTAGGACCTTGTATAATTTAAACTTAGATAGGAAGTCCAAAGGCTGATATTGAATGAAAAGGAAGTTTAAGATTAAATGAAAATTTATGAAAACGTGTCGGAAGGAGTGTGAGCTTCGAACTATTTTAAATAAAAGGACTTTTTTCTATTGTACCGTGCCATACCATGATCGTGTTATGAACGTATCAAGCGCGAAAACTAACGTCATGGTCTACTATGCTCATCGGCTCTAAGGCCCGTGCGTGCTAGGCCCTTATGTTACTTATATTAATGCCCGTTCACAAAAAGAAATATGCTTCGTTGTCGATCGGTGATGGAACGGCTTAGTGGGCTTCCTTCTCTCGCAAGGGTGCTTTGCAGCGGGTTTTATCAAGTAGACCAACCACAGCCACATCGCCCTTCGGGGCAGGTCCGTAGTGGTTGAACAACCCTGATTTGGATTTAAGGTCCATTTCCTCTGCGTTAACAAAAAAAGTGGGCAGCGTCCTATTAAAAACAAAGAATATGTTTGTGCCCGGCGCGTTCCCATTACGGTCATGGTATGATAAGATGTAGTGGGCAATCAACTTAATTTTTAATTGACGGTAATCGTAGTTACCTACAGATCTCTCTTATACTGTCAACATATCTGTTTTTGTTACTATTTATTACTATGATGTTACGTTCGGTAGATACGCTTGCGATATGTAGGCCCGCGTAGGCTCATTTATAATATACTTTACGATGAATACCTGTTATAAATAACATAAAGAAATGCATTGGTATTTGGCTTTATATAGAACATGTGTAGTGAAATCTATGCATGTTCAAATTCTTAATGTTTATAATTATGTACATATTAGATGTACACGATCGTGTTATACTCGGGATGTGTAATGGTGTATCACGTTATGTCGTATACTGTAATAGTATCTAGTAATGAATCGCTGTTTGGGATACACTCTAATAGTTAGATAATGTTTCGTGTTCAGAGCGTATCTTCGTCGAGTCAGCTGGAATGACTATTTGCTCATAGAATAGGTATGGATATATATAGATGATATGTTTGTATTTGTAATGATAAAAAAATGCGTATTGTTTATTGTAATTAGCGAACAGTATTTTGATAAACACGTGAACGAGGTAAATGTAAACTTTATACACATGATCTAAGTGAAGCTTGACGATTATTAGTGTATTTACTTCGTTTCCCTTATCAATTATATACGTATATTGTTTAAAGCCATCATACATTACAGGCGATAATAAAGGTTGTGTCATATAAATGTATGTATAGAATAACCGTAGCATGAACTACTGCTTTGTACTCACATTGTGTACCTAAGTAGTGCACTTAGCGGAAATATTTGACAAATTCTATCAAATGACGGGTTGTTTCGTCCTTATTCAACCTATTTATGCTACTTACTTAACCAACAATATTTTCACTTTAAATTCCTTATTCATCCTATCAATATTCATAACTCGTTATATTTGAAAATCACCAAAAATTTTAAGAGAAATAGTTTTTCTGTGTACGGTCTCAAGAATACTACCCTTGATTTTTGAAATGTGAGTTCATACTTACTATAAAGTAGTTTTATTAGATAAAATAGTAGGAATTCTAATAAAATTCTATATTCCCCCCGCTTGATCTATGAAACTACTGGGTCTAAAGTTTTATAAAATATGCAGACGATTAGTCTTGTGTTTTGGTTTTTTAGAAATTTTAAACAGTCGCGTACATCGTTGTGCAGCAATTTTCATAAGATGACCTTAAACTTTACTTCTTTAGAGATCTGATGAAGATTAGAGAACGCGTTTCAGGTTTCGCTATCACGCGTAACATTCGTGACGTCATTAAAGTGATACTAAACCTATTCCTTGTCCAGCAATGGCGCTCGTTAGTGCCATACGTCAATTTGATACGAATCGTCATATACTCTCGCTGCAACACTAGATTGGTCGATGTTAACTTTAACTTGTGTACCAGCTCGCATACTGTCGCTACCTATTTAGGAAATAGTCGACTATCCTTACGTGTGCAGTATACCAATAGGCGCCATATTGATGTTCGAATAAAAAAATTATATTGGGCAACTTTATACTCTATGCTTATACTCTTTAGAAACTTTATTTATCTAATTTATATTTTGATAATTCTTCCTATCTGTTCGGGTTATTTGTTTTTACTGTGGTCAATTTGCTGTCAACGATAATGTATGAAAAAAATATCAATTACATAAATCAATTATAACATATCGTCTACCAGATAAAGACAATACACTGTTATTTTATATTAATATACATAAAAAAATATCAATATACTTGCAATTTAGTCGTTCTTTAGTGAAAATAATTCACCTTTTTAATTACATTTATATATTTAGTATAATTATCATTAGTATAGATAACGTCTATGTAAACAAACAGTGTTATAATTTATTTAAAAAATCCATAATAGCATTATTTATATGCTTAGTTATTGAAAAAAAAAAAACATGAAAATTCGTGGTGTCTTCTAAAATGACAATAATAAAAGTTATCGTCCACTAAGAGGACTATACGGGAAAGTTACAGAACAATTTATTATCGTTTTGGCATCGATTGTCATTTTAAAGTTGCTATTCAACATTAAATATAACTTCTATCAGTTTAAAAACA